AAACCTTCAGTACGCCAACTTTAAATATTAAGCGCAGAAACGCTCCCAGGTCATCCAAAACCTGATCCGGACATATGTCCAAATCCAAAATCATCATACGAACCTTTGGGACCGTCAAATTCTAATTTCGAGGTCGTTTACTTAAAATATTGACTCAAGTCAAACTTAACCATTTTAAGCCAATATTAAGGAACTAAGTATTCCAATTTCAATCTCAACTCTTCCAAACCCGAACTAAGCATCCCCGTAAGTCATAAAATAGAAAAAGAACATATGAAAAGTCTTATTTAGGGGAACGAGGATCTAGAAAGCAAAATAACCGATCGAGTCGTTACATAACATCTCTTCTCTACCTTGTTAGTATATACCTTTCATCAATTTTATCAATCTTCTTGTACGACAAGATCTTGAGTATATGGCAACAAAGAATCCCTCTAGAATCGAACCATTTGCAGCTACAACTAAAATAATCGTCGATAAGTGTATATTCAACTGTGTACTCTAATGGATTTTCACCATTTTTTTGCACAACTGAATAATCACTAACGATGAATATTTCAATACTAGGGACAACTTGATGATCGCCAGAGTTGTTGACTTCACAATGATATAATTTTCTTAATTGTATCTTGAAAAATTCATACATTATACGTATATAACACTGAATTACATGTTCCTCCCACTTGAACAATGACTCACATACAATTTGAAAGACTTTTGACCTGTATTCTGCTTCCAACTCTTTCTCATGCTTATCTCTTATAGCTAACTCGAACTAGTGAACAAACATCCTAAGGGTGCTTTGACGGGTAATATATCCATCAAAGAATGCAAGTATCCCCTCACTTCTTTGCATAGATAGCATACCAGCCCAAAAATACAGACCAAGGTACACAGGAACTCATTTTTCCTTCTCAGAGTAAAGCTTGTTGAACCAATTCCTTGTATGCAAATTATACTTTGCAATATATTCTGTCCATTTTCTCTCAAAAACTTCAACAGTAATGCTATTACGTACCATGGATTTAAATTCTCCACGTGCAATTTTAGAAGGACGAACACCACTTAAGTAAAGAGGCAACTTCAAAAATATATGCCAAATACAATACCTATGTATTATATGTGGCATCACTACATCAATGGCTGGTTGAATGCTCAGACATTGGTCAGTTATGATAGCATCTGGATGAACATTTTCCATGGCTTCAAGCCAAGTTCTAATAACCAATTTGTAACTATCGATATCTTCATGAGACTAGAGCACATCCAGTAGGATGAACTGCCTATAGTGATTGATGCCAACAAATATAGTGCATGGCATATTATAGCGATTCACAAGGTACGTTGTATCGAAGCACACCACATCATAGAATTGCTCACACGCCGCCTTATAGTGTGAATGTACCCGTACCATATTTCGCAGCCCACCAACATTATCTATGTCTATTGAATAGAAAAACTCACTATCCTTTACCTACATTTCACGAAACAAATTGAGCAATGAATGTGCGTCCCCTTCTTGCATTTCAAAATTCCTACTCTTTAAAATAAAATGTTTACAATCTTTTGGAGTGCAACCCAAAATTTTGCAGTCCACCACGTTGAACCTCAGCAAGTCCAATATTCTTGGAGGGTCTAATGTCAGATCGATCGTGAGCTACAAGATACCTTTTCAAAGAATCACTAATGGACCTATGTACAGCCATCAGCCGTGATATGGCAGGGAGCAAATCATGATTGTGATCATTAATGACCTTAGAGACGCGCCAACAACAAGAATCATCCAAAACAGCAGTGAGCCTAGCTTTAAAATTGTTACTCTTAGTGGTAAACTTTGTTTTGCGAATCCTAGCCCTATCACAACAGTAATTTATGTACCTGATAGTGTCACCACCCTTCTTGTTGAAATTTCTTTTGACGATAGAGAATCCTTTCAATCGTGCATGTTCTTTATAGAATATAAACAAAGAATTTTTATCTCTATATCGCATTCTGGAGATTGGACCTACAGCTGCATCCTCTTCAGTGAAATCATTCTTTATTTCCCGATCAACATCATATTCTTATAACTCATTTCCTATAAATTACTCCTCATCATCCTCAGCTTCTCCATAATATTCTCTATTGGCTTCTTCGTCGTCATCATCTAAATGCACAACATTGTTGAAAATGCCATGTGAATTAACATCGACCCATTTGTATCCATTCAATAAATTGTCGTATGCTGCCATCCGTAAAGATCTGTACAACTCATCCCTAACTCGATCAAACCTACTATCTTGGTTCATATTCATAGTTGTTGTATTTGTATTTTGTTCATTTGGATTCATATTTTCTTGCACCCCCAAATTTTCTTGGTTTGAATTCATGTTTAGGTTATGGAAGAAAAAAGGGAAGGATTATAGTCGTTTATGTGATCAGCTCTTCAAGATCTTATAATATCATAATTTGCTATATACATAAAATACACAATGAATGTAAAGACTTTTCACCTTTCTCTGTATGTGAACATGAATGATTTCATGTTGCTCAATGTTTGGGAATAGAAAGAAGTTACTATATTTAATATTGTGTGTTGGAGGAAAAATTGTTGGGAGAAATTGGAATAAGGACATGGTAGTCATTTTGCAAGTGTGGCCATAATTGGGACAAATTAGTGTGGTTATTAAGCAACTCTCTTAGTGTAAATAACGAGTGTGATCTTGTTACTTTTAACACTTCACCAATGCAAAGCTTATCTCGAAAGAAGATAAATGGTAACACATCAACAACAACAACAACAATAATAAAAAACCCAGTTTGATCCCATAAATAGGGTCTGGGGAGGGTAGTGTATACGCAAACCTTACCCCTACCTCATAAAAATAGAGAAGCTATTTTCGATAGACCCTCGGTTCAAGAAACAATAAAAATAAAGCACCAAGTAGCAAAGAATGTTAGCAACAATGTAACATAGTAACGTGTGTGAATGCCGCAACATGCGTAATAAAGAACCGTAAGTAGGAAATTACAAAATTAGTCCTAGTACTATTGAATGGCCTAGGAGGAACACACTACTATCTGTCAACCTACAACCCTAATCATTGACCTTCATACCTTCTTATCGTGGGTCATGTACTCGATAAGCTGAAGCAATGACATGTCTTGCCTAGTTACCTCTCCCTAATACTTCTTAGTCATACCCCTTCCCTTCCTCATACCCGCCATGGACAACCTCTCACACCTCCTCACCGGAGCATCCATGTCTCTCCTCCTCACATGCCCGAACCATTTCAGCCTTGATTCCCGCAACTTATCCTCCATAGATGCCACACCTACCTTGTCCCTAATAGCTTCATTCCTAATCCTGTCTTTCCTAGTATGCCCTCACATCCATCTCAACATCCTCAATTTAGCTACTTTCATCTTTTGGACATGGGACTTCTTGACAGGCAAACACTCAGCTCCATACAACATAGTCGGTCTAACCACCACTCTATAGAACTTTTCCTTAAGTCCAGGTGGCATATTATTATCACACAAAACCCCCGATGCGAGCCTCCATCTCATCATCCCCGCTCCAATACGATGAGTAACATTCTAGTCAATCTCCCCGTTGCCTTGAATAATAGACCCAAGATATTTGAAATTTTCTCTTCTAGGGATGACCTGAGTACCAATCCTCACTTTCACTTCTTTTTCATGCATCCCCTCACTGAACTTGTACTCCAAGTACTCAGTTTTCGACCTACTCAACTTGAAACCTTTAGATACCAGCGTTTGTCTCCAAACTTCCAATTTAAATGCTAACACATCGCATGTACAATTATCCCCTTGCTGAAATTTTTTGACATGCTTCATCAATTGATTGCTTAATATGGTTTAAAATATTTTTCATTTAGGGTATGTTTGTCATGGAATGACTTTCCTACCAAAAGGAGGAAAAATATTTTTCAAAACTCTTTTTCAATCTTCTCTATCCTATTCCCCACCTCCATCACCCATATCCCCCCACCCCCTCCAACCCCACCCTCCCTAACCTCGCCACCGTCAGTCCAGTCCTTAGACCCCGACCTACCACCCTCCCCCGACTTTACCCATTTCATCTTATATAGTGCTTTACTAAATGATATTATTTCCAAAAATATTTTTTGCTACGTAACCAAACGCCAAAAAAATAAGTAGAAACCTACTTATTTTTCAAGGAAAACATTTTCCTTCATTCCAAACATACCCTTAATTATTTATTGGTTGCTTATTATTCTACTCCTTCCGGTCCATAATAAGTGACCATTTTACCTTTGGCATACCCATTAAGGAAATACAAACTCCTAAAAAAAAAATATACTCACTAAATTAATCTTAATTAATTTTTACCTTGACACATTGGAATATATAAATAAGGGTAATTTTGAAAAAATAAAATTAATTCCTTCTTTATTATGATGGACACTTATTTTGGACCAAAACAAAAAGGTAAAATAATCATTTATCATGGACCGGAAGGAGTAATGATCTTCATAGTGACACAAAAATTGTGTAAGCTGTCTTCAACAGAAATATTATATAGTGAGACATCTCTATAACATCATCTTTATATAATAGTCATTTACTATAAAAGTCGAGTTATTCTCGAAACTGAATAATATATTATGTTATAATATATGTCTTCTATAACAGCATTTCACTATAGCAACTAAAAACTTTTGAAACAAATGACGTTGTTGTAGAGAAGTTTGACTGTAAAAGGATTGGAAGTTCAAGTGTGAGGTGTGACACACTAACTCAAGGCGAGAAAATATATGACAAAATGAGGTCACCAATTAGTAATAAAGATCAAACTTACATTTTTTTTTTTGGTAACTATAAACTTTATTTACCAAAAAGCATATGTACAGCTCAAGAAAAGAAAAAACAAACTACCACTTGTCAACTAGGCTAAACATAGTCCCAACCTTCAGTGACTTGCCGATTAGCTATCTAATTTTCATACATTTCTGTACTAACTATTCTATGTAGTCTCATGGGTAGAAATTTAGACTTTGCAGCTTCTTCCTCAGTGACAGCTTCATGCTTCCTCTATAGAATATCTCTTGTATAATCACTCTAACTATCTCCCCCGCTAATCTTTGTCTGTGCTGAAATACTCTGAGATTCCTTTCATGCCATAGTTGATATATACTGCCAGCAATTGCCATTCTGTAAATTTCATCAGATGAACTTTTTCCATTATGCTGTGATATAGCCCATTGTACTTCTGCATCCCATTCCATAGGTTGCCGATATATACCTTGCCACTGTAACAGTTTTTGCCACACTTCAGTAGATAGTGTACATACATAGAACAAATGGGATATACTTTCCTCAGCCACTCCACACATAGGACATGTTGCATCATGTATCACTCCCCATCTCTTTAGTCTGTCCCTTGTATATAATCTACCATGAACCGTGAGTAGAAGTATGAAGTTCCATTTAGGGGCACTCTGATTGTTGCAAGTCAGCCTTCTCCAGGCCACCTTTGGCACATTACCCCTCAGCTTGCAATAAATGTTGTTGATAAAGAATTGATCCATGCTAATCATCTCATCCATACTCATTCCAGCCTGTATGACATATTTGTGTGCTTTCAAGATTTTCTGCATTATCTAATATGCTTGATTGCACTTGGCCTCCCAGATGTAACTCGTTCCCCCATAATAGGCATGTACCCATCTCACCCACAGTTTGTCCTTCTTCTTGCAAACATTCCACAGCTACTTACAAATTGCAGCTTTATTCCATAACTCAACATCAATGAAATTTACACCTCCTGCAGCTTTGGGATAACAAAGAGTTTCCCATGCAATCAGTGCCTTATTCGACTCATTTGCCCCACCACTCCATAAGAATTTTCTGCAAGTTGCCACAATTTCATTTATAATCTTCTTAGGCAGTATAAACACTTGTGACCAAAATGTTTGTATAGAGAATAATACACTATTGATCAGCATAACTCTTCCAGTGTAGGATAGAAACTTGGTTGTCCACCCCGTGATTCTGCCAAGCATTTTCTCTAACAGGGGTTGGCACTGAGTAATAGCCAGCCTCTTAGAGCTTAAAGGCACCCCCTAAGTACCTGAAGGGAAGCTCACCTTTGGGAAATCCAAGTACATCTAATAATTATTGTTGTAAGACTAGATTGACTCCTCCGCAATACATTGAGCTTTTGGTTGGATTTGCAATAAGTCTCGATGCCTCAGAAAAGGTCTTGAAGTAGTTGTATAATAATTGTACATATTATTTATCACCCTTGCAAAACATCATAAGATCATCCGCAAATCCTGGCTGAGTAATCTTGGTCCTAGCACACTTGGGATGGAATTTGAAGGCAGGATTCTTTGTCAATTGCTTCAGAAACCTACTCAGGTATTCCATCATAATTACAAACATGTAAGGTGACATAGGGTCCCCTTGCCTTAGACTTCTCTTGGCAACAAATGGCCTACTAGGCTTGCCATTAATAATGATTGAATAAGAGATTGTCCGTAAACAGCTCATAATCCAATTGGTAAATTTAACAGGAAAGTGCAGCCCGTGCAACAATTGCTCAATATAGATCCATTCCACAGAGTCATACGCCTTCTGCATGTCTATTTTAATCATACATCTAGGGGAAATACATTTACTTCCATACCCCTTTATGAGTTCATGGCTTTAAATGATATTATCACTTATGATTCTGCCTGGCACAAAGGCTGCTTGGTTTTGGTCAATCAAAGTAGGCATTACCAGTTGTAGTCTCTTAGTGAGAATCTTCGAAATGATTTTATATAGCACAGTACAACAAGAAATGAACCTAAACTCTTTTATTGTTAGAGGGTTCTTCACCTTAGGCACAAGTGTTACTGATGTGCAGTTAATAGGCTTAAACATGTTGCCTGTGTGAAAGAAATCCATAACAGCAGAGATGATTTCTTCCCCTACTACCTGCCAACTTTTCTTGAAGAAATGTGAGTTGAAACCATCACATCCAGGAGCCTTCTGTTCATAAATGTCCTCAACTGCATTGTATACCTCCTCTCTTGAGATTGGTTCTATCAATTTCAGTTGTTGATCTCTGGTCAGCTTATGTCCTTCATCAAGTACATCCAGTTGAACTGTTGGTAATATATCTGCTGCAGACCCAAGCAGATTTTGATATTTGATAACTTCTATCTCCACTTCTTTCTCAGTTTGTGCTATATTACCATCTATAGTATTGAGTCTTCTTATTTGGTTATAAGCAGTCATGTTCTTCATGCGAGCATAGAAATAGGCAATGTTAGTATCCCCTAGTTGTAGATATTTCACTCTTGATTTTTGCTTAAGAATGATTTCCTCAGTTAGCACCCACTTTTCTAGTTGTTGTTTCAATTCCTTCTCCTTCTCGGCTAGTTCTACCTGCTTCTGGGGATCTCTTGCTTCATGTTGTATTTCAGCCAGCTTCTTCCTGTAATATTCCACCTTTTTAGTTGCTTTTGAAAACTCTCTACAGTTTAGTGCCTTTAGCTTATGCTTGACCTATTTCAGTTTACACCAAATTGCTTCCATCCCCCGCACTTGATGTACACAATTCCACTGGCTATTCACCAATAAGAGAAAATAAGGGTGCTGCGCCAAATGATTGAAGAATCTGAATGGCCTAGCCCCTTTGAATCCTCTCCCTCCAATTTCTATAGCTATAGGATTATGATATGAGAAATAAGGATCTAAGGTTGTAGCTTCCACATGTGTCCAAGTAGTCATCCATTCACTATTTACAAGAGCCCAATCAATCTTGCTAAGAACATGGTTATTAGTCCATTTATATCTTCTTCCAGTAGTTTTAAGCTCCACCATATTAGTGTCCACCATAAATCTCTTAAAGTCAGCAACCTCATATTCCTGCACAGGATTTTCCTTAATTCTGTCATCATAGTGCCTTATAGTATTATAATCTCCCATGGTAACCCAGGCCTCATGTTGTATTCGAGCAATAGATGCTAACTCATCCCATAGTGGCCTTCTAGCAGCCACACTGTGCAAACCATAAACTACAGTTAGTTAAAACCCCACATTCAAAGCACATATCCTCACATCCCCATGAACAAGCTGTGGGTGTGTATATATTTTAGTAAATACAATTTCATTTGAATTCCATAATATCCATATTCTACCCCTTCCATTTGCATCATAATTTGAACACCAATGCCAACCTGGGGCTACCCTTTTAATTATCTGTTCAGCATATTTTCCTTGTACCCTATGTTCTAGTATTGTAACCAATCCTACCTTATTGTGCTTCAGAAACTTTACTAACTCCGCCTGCTTATATACTTTATTCAGGCCTCTGACATTCCATGTAATGAGCTTCAACATTCCGAGTCAGGGGGTTTATCCTCTAGGCCCAAATAACTACATTGTCCACGAGCTCCTCCAGTCCCTTCATCCACCTGAGATTGATGTTGTGTACTTGGTAATCCTAGAGAGCTGAATGCATTTGTTACTGCCAGATTGCCATTTTTGGAGGTATTCTGACCACTTCGACTTGTTGATTTGTCTCTGACCTCTATCCAATGATCCTCTTGCATCTGATGTTGTTTGTTTTTAGCTAAGGGTGGCAAGTGGGTCGGTCCCGGGCCTAAACGTGCTAAGTGGTCCGGTCCAAACGGTCCCAGCCCCGGTCCCGGGCCGGTCCCAAATTAAACGGGCTAAACGATCCCTGGCTAAATGGTCTTTTTGTAGGGACCGGCCCGGGACCGTTTGGTCCCAGGCTTAACGGTCCTGGCCTGCGGGCTAAGTGGGCCCAACGGATTTTTAAAAAAAATTAGGGGGAATAGGGAAAAAATATTTTTAAAACTTTTTTCTTATAGAATCAATAGCAAGTTTATAAATTTTCCCACCCTCTGAAAAATGAGCAAACAAATTTATAAGTTCTTCAATATAAACTAAACAGTTAGAAATAGTAGGATGATATTGCCCAGAAAATTTATTTGTAGCAATATAAATTTTTTCTAAAAAATCTACAAGTATTTTAACATTAGCCCAATCCTCATTTGTAAGGTGCTCATCATCATCACTTACATGTGCATTAAATGTTGAGTTTATGGGTTTTCTATATTCATATGCAATAACCAAACTTTCATACATGTAATTCCATCTAGTTGGACAAGGTTTAGGAACCTTTCTTTCTCTTAGGCCAAATTCATCGCATCTTTTAAAATTTTTTCTAAGTCTACTTCTACGGTTTGAATAAAAAAGGCAGTTAAGAGCCATTTTAACCTTTTCAATTTTAATATTTAAAATTCTCATACCATCACCCACAATTAAATGGTAAATATGACAAATATATCTAAAATGAAAAATGTCACAAAATGCAGGATTTAGCGTTGTGGTAAGCAAGGCTATAGCATTTGTATTACTAGTAGCATTATCCATTGAAATTGATATTATTTTATCACTAATGCAAAAATATCTACAAATATCTGTAACTGTGCTAGCAATAAACTGTCATGTGTGACATGAATTAATTATTCTATAAGAAATAATGCGCTTTTGCATTATCCAATCCTCATCAATCCAATGACCGGTAACAGTAAGATAATCACAGTCGTTACCACTTCTACCAATATCAGTTGTAATAGCAATACGACAATTTATATTAGTAAATAAATAGCGCAAATATTGTTCATATTCATATTTATATTTATAAATATCGCTCTTTACGGTTGTGCGAGGAATACCTTTATAAGTAGGATTAAAATTATTTCTAATATAATGCACAAAGTTAAGGTCAGAAGGAAAACTATAGGGTAAACACATAACAGTTACCATTTTTGCCAATTCTTCCCGATCTTTTTTTGGATCATAATATAAAATACTACCGGTAACAGTGTTAATTCCCGGTTGAAATTGATTTGAACTGGTACTAGGGTCAACCTGACTAGGAGTAGGTAGACTTTTCCCCTCGGCCAAAGCTTTCAGACGAAGATATTTCACTTTATCTTTAGGGTGTTTCAATATGTGTCTAGCCAAAGTTCCCTCCCTCCCTCCCCCTCGATCCAAAATATTTAAAAACTAACTTCGTGCCACAAATTTTACACTTAGCCTTATTTTCTGGAATTAGTTGAGTAAAAAATGGCCAAACGGGAGATGTTTTCGTCTGTTTGCTAGGTTGTCTAGAAAAAGTAGGGGTAGTAACAGGAGTATCAGATGGGACATCATTTGGATTAGCAGGGTTATCACTAGTTGGGTTAACATCAGGAGCAGGACTAGTTGGTGTATCATCATCCGGTTGAGTTTCATCAAAATCTATTTCCTCGTCATCATTTTCATCAATAGTTGGATTAGAATAAAGAGCATTCATTAATTCATGGTCTAATTGTTCACCAGCTCAAATATTATGGCAAAATTGACTTTCAGTAAATTGTAATAAACTATTATCGCTATCAAGAATAGCAGGTGTAGGACGGATATGGAGTTTGGTTCGGGGAGCCCAGGTTAGTGGAGGAGGAACAGATTGAGCACTAGATTCGTCACTCTTGGATTTTTCCTTATTTTTACCAAAATTGTTTTTTTAAGGAAGCCATCTTAATTAATAAAGTAATAGAAAATAAATAAAACAAACAAAACTATAATATTAAAACTTAAGAGTTGAAACGAGTTTACCGAATTGACGAACAACTTGTTGAAAATTGATTATCGTTGAAGACTTCAATTCATCAACTTCACAATTGTTTCACGAATTGTAACAACAAAGTAAGCAATAGTAGCAATTATAGAAGAAAATTAGAGAGAGATTGTGATAGATTGAAGATTTTGTAAGAAAAATGAAAGAATGAGGGGGTATTTATAGTTGAAAATAGGAAAAAGTATAGTTATAAAAAGTTTGGGATTAAAACAAAGTTGGGGGGATTAAATAACTATTTTATAAATAGCCAACGACTATTTTTGACAGCCCAACGGCTATATTTAAAAAAAATTAAAAATATAGCCGCTGGGACCGTTTGGCCCGCTAAGGGACCGGTCCGGTCCCGGTCCCTGGCGGGCCAAATAATCCCGGGCCTGGCGGGCCCAAAGCATAGGGCCGGCCCACGAGACCGGCCCAGACCCACTAAAACCAGCCCATACTGTCCTGACCCATTTAGCCTGTTTGGCCCGCGGTCCCGGACCTGGACCGGCTCACTTGCCAGCCTTATTTTTAGCTGTATCATTCTGGACCTGCACCTGCTTGTTCATTGTACAAGCATTCCTACCTGCTGATCTCTCCCTCGAGCAAGTTGGTTGTTTTGAGGCTGATCCTGGATATCATCCTTTTTCTTTAGCCACATAGTCTTCTGCTTCCCCGACATCCCTTGATCAGGTGGAGTGGCTTTTGTTTGCCCATCATCTTGGCATCTATATCCACTTTGTAAGCAAGATGGACAATAGACAGGTTTCCAATCATACTTTATCTCTTGATCAAAGATCTTCCCCATAGGATCTCTTGCTTTAATGGATTCTGGTAAAGGCTTTGTAACATCCATTTCAATAAGCATCCTTGCATAGGAGACCCTATCAATATTTGTAGTGCATTCATCTGCATAAACTGGACGTTCCAGCAAACTACCTATCCTGCTTAATGAATCCATACTCCAGCAACTAAGTGGGAGATTGGGCATCTTAATCCACAGGGGGGTCATTCAGAGCACCTCCTTGTTGAAATCAAAATCAGCCTCCCAAATCTTAACAATAACTGGTCTATTATTCATTGTGTGAGGACCAGAGAAAAGAACCTCATCTCTATCAGCTATACTCCCAAATTTTACCAGGAAGAAGCCTTCGTTGTGATAGTAAACTTTGGGCTTTGCAATATATTTCCACTTACTTGCAATAAACCTCTCCACTGCTGCAATAGTAGGTGAATTCCCAACTATATACAAAATTAGTGCATGTTTCCATTTTTTCTGTTTCTCTGTCAATCTCCTCTTGTTGTAATTGAGCTACCAATTCACCCTCTACAATAATTGGTGCAATATATTTCAATTTCATACCTCTGGCAGCAAATCTTTTCTCATTGAATGGTGTTGCCCAGGTTTTTGGTACCTCTATTGGTTGCTCTGCATCCATCTCCCTTTGTTTCTGCTCATCGCCGTCAGCCTCAACCTTATTCCCAGATCTATGCAATTTCCCCAAATTTGCTTCCTTAGGCCATTCCTTCATAATTGTTTGATTCGTTGGTGTTACGTCCATCAGCGCCTTTCTATTTGAATTTGTAGCGGTTGTTACTCCCATCGGCGTCTGCTGATTGTATACAGGTACAGGTGTGGTCACTGGAGTTTGACCATTTTGACTCTTCCCTACATACAATGCTAGAGTAGGGGACTTATTTAGATGGATTGAAGTTCCTACACCTATGACTTCTTTCAGCAACTCCGCCGCATTCTTAGCAGCGATTTTGTTTGCCTTCGTCGGTCGTCCTCTAGGCATTTTTTGACCCCTGCGCACATTAGTTTTACCCTATCATGCGCTGATCAAACTTACATTAAGAGCATGTTTGGACATTAAAAAAAATTCCTTTTTTCCAAAAAAAAATTATTTTTTTTCGAAATCAGTGTTTATTCATAAAATTTCCAATTTTCACTTGAAGATGCATTTTGAAAATTTTCGAAAATTTGAAAAACTCCAAAAAACTATTTTTCAAAATTTTTACTCATAAAACTTCAAAAACAACCCAAACTGAAATTTATGTCCAAACACAACTCTAAATTTCAAATATTATTTTCACTTGAAAAAAAATTTCATCATTTTTTGGAATTTTACAATTTTTATGTCCAAACGCCTACTTAATCACACACTACGGGTTGCAAACCCAATTTCCAATTTACTATATTACCCTTCACACCGTGGACCCCACCACCCTAACGACCTCACAACTGCCGTTAATGTTTAACCGTTAGCACCCTTTCTTTCATTCCTTCCAAATCATATACTATAACAGAAAATCAGATATATATTCTTATTCTATTCTCCAACTGTTAACAATAATAGCAATGTTTACCTAACAGAGCAAAAGTAAAACGAAAAGGACAGTTAAAGTTCCCAAATTTATTAAAGCAAAGGGGAGGCATATGTTCGATTTTTAAAGTCAGAAGCAACAATGGGTCATAATCAGTTAACTGACCCACTTTCCACTCCTACTAGTATTATTAAAAGCTCCTTCTTTTTCTTGTCCTTCTTCTGCAGTATCTGTCAATGGAAGCTTTGATCTTCAAGATCAGGCTTCTTATTCTTGCTTTGGTTCATTTCAGATCTCATTCAGGCAAGTCCAACTGGCCGAAATTATGTGAAAAGTTTCATTTCTTCAATTTTAACTTTAGTTGGTTTAGTCAAATTGTGTTGTGGTAGTTCTTGCGTCTAAGATTATGTGTAATTGTGTGGTAGTTTATTGAAAATTTTGTTTTATAATTACCCTGAAGTTAAATTTTGAAGTGGGTTTTCAGTAAAGTTGTAATTTTGTGAATTGATAGTAAGTGATCTTTACTTGTCATTTTCTGCTGGCTGAAGGAGTATCAGCTGCAGTTTTGTTATGAAACTGAAGTTGAAATTGATGTGAATTAAAGAAAATTGTAACTTTGTGAATTATAAAGATTTTGACTTCTCTTTTGTTCTGACTGGAGAAGTGTTGGTAGCAGCATTGTTAGTGATTTTTATTTATATTTTTTCTTTTTCCCCCCCTTTATACTGATATTGCCAATTGGTGATAGAAAGAAGCTAAAAGGAAGGGAAAACAAGAACAAGAAGAAAAAGAAAGTTTTACTTGACTGTTTGAACTTTGAACTAAAAGGCATTAATATTTTACTAATATTATTAAGTTTTTTTATGGTATCTACTGCTAGACATAAAGTTAGCCTTGAAAATCATGGGATTTTTTGTTTATGAATTTTTAATCAATTTCAGGTCCAATATCCTTGGTGAAACATTTTTCTTATAAAGACATAAAGAAAGCAACTGATTGTTTTAGGAGAGTTGTTTATATCTCTTCCAAAAGAGTTGCTTACAGAGCCAAATTTCGAAATGGCCGTGCTGCAATAGTGAAAGAAGTCCGAGCTGCTGAAGATCAGGATGATACTGCCTTCTACAGGGAGGTACAGATACTCGGTCGCTTGCATCATCGACATGTTGCTGCACTTAATGGATTCTCTAGTGGCCCTAAGAGGTTAATTTCCTTAGCTTTGGCTTGATTATGTTTGTGAATTGTGGAAAGGGTCCCGTGTCTTGCTGATTATTAATCTAACTTTGAGATAGAGTGGGAGAAGGAATGGGTTGATTGTTTCTTGATCAAATTATGATCACAATATAATGTGGGTACTATAGTATATTGTAAAACCGGATTATTAGTTTTTCCCCCTATCTGGAGAAAATAAATATGTACCGATCATATTCTCTGAACATCTAACTTAGCTGCTGATGATGGTAGTCATCGTATTTCTCTCAAGAAGTGCAAGTAGTTGGACATACTAAACTTTATTACTTTCAAACACTTACCTGTGACTCAAGAGCACCCATATTTGGAAAATTTGTTCTTTATTGCTGTGTTTCTTCCTGAATTGCATGACATTCTTCCCCTTGATATGCACGGTATCTCAATTTTCTTCTGAAGCTCTTTGTAGTTTCTGATAAGTTTTGTTTCCCCTGGTTTCCGTTAAGTTAAAATATTTAAGCCTGATGCCTTTATTTACTGTGATAGTGCTTCATTTTAAACAGTTCTTTAACAAACCTGTACGAATTTATGTTATGAGTAACCCCCAGTTAGAACTTCTCAATGTGTTCATTGTAATTTTCCAAATGTAACACGTATCCTATATTATTTACTTTTCCAGTTTGTTGAATTGTACGAACCACCAAACTGTTAGAGACGAGAAACTTTAGTATATTTCTTTTACATCTTCAACACGCTCCTCACGTGCAAACCTTTTTTTAGCCAAGAGCATGAAAGTATTTGTGATAGTTCTGATGAGAATCTGATCTAGGATTTCTGCAGAGAACTTTTCTGTGTAAATGCATTCATGCCACATAACATACTGTTTTAGGAATGTGAGAGAATCGAATAGAAAGGGAAAAAAAATTGAACCTTGAATTGGATTCTTTTGTGTGTATAGTTCACAGAAATCTGGCCTTTGCTTGATATTTTCTTATCATCGATTATTTTGATAAATCAATTTATGCAAAGATTTAGTTAGCTTGAAAATCATTGCAAAATATTGACTTCCAGGAGCGATGATATTCCAGCTCTAGATGAAATGATCTCATGTCAAATTCAATATTCCTTCTTCGTTACTACATCATGAGGTCATCATTTCTTGTTTCCACAAATGAACCTAATCAACCTATGCAATTGTATAGTATGGATATCGCATGTAACTTAGCTACATCCCGTCACATAATACAATTAAAATTAAAATATCATCAGAGAGTTTTATTGCTGATTGCAGTGGATATTCCTTACTCCCTACAGTTTCTGGGTGCAGAGTTTCCTTTTCTCTTTTTTTTTATTTGTTGCCTTTTCGTTTTTCTTTTCTTTTATTCTTTTGGCTTTTTCTCCCTTCTTTGATAGCAGATCTTGTCTACTTTCAGGTTTTTAGTGTTTGAAGATATGGAAAAAGGAAGTCTGAAGGAACACCTCTCTGGTAATTTTTTAAGGAGAAGCCTTCAAAAAAAAAAATCGTTTTTCTTTTTCTTCTGCCATTTCGTGTTGAGTTTGATGGATATGCCTCTAACTAAATGTGGTCCTTGCAGATCCTCTGAAGACTCCATTGAACTGGAGAATAAGGTTGCAGATAGCCGTTGGCATTGCTGCTGCTGTGGTATGTTCCTGAAGCTGCATATCATGTACTTATGCTGATTATTTCCATATTATGCTTTTTACATTTTTGAATTACCATATTGAAGATGTAGTTATTGGTAGACTAACTCAAACAGCCAAACCCTTTAGCACAGCCTCAACAGTATTAAATATAGACTCTGGGTAACCAGTATGGAGAACTATTCTAGCATTATATACATTTTCTCACCTATTTGGTTTCAGATTCACCTTTTGTTGAAGTAGTGATGAACAGTCCTCCCTTCTGTTACCACTAGTAATATTTGGTCATTAAAAAAGTTTTTCTCGTGGTGCGGGTGGTGAGGGGGGAGTGAATCGGAGTAGAGGAGGCCTAAGCTGCAAGTCATGACCTACCTAGGCTGCAAACTTTGTGCTCCTAGTATTTGATGCCAGCGGCTTAAATTCCGAGTAGTCTTTTGCACATGTTGTATACTTTTCCTGATGTCATTTGAAAAATGTTGGTTTAAGTACATGCTCAAGATTCTTCAAGGTTGTACCTAACCCGTCTTATGGATTTTGGAACAGGGGACGGGAAAGCTAACTTTCCATGTTACCAAAAAACTGAAACTTCTGTCTTCCAAAGCTGTTTCCTGAAAAACTGAACTTTCAAATGACCTGGATATTAGAGATCTGCATAAGACGGCACCTCTTGTAAAAAAATGTGGTCTTTGGAGAACATTTAGCAGCACAGACATATTAATTAGTTATTGAAGACATAAGTTCCTGTAGTCTTGTACTGATGGGGAGAAAAACTTCCCCATGATTCAGTCATAAAAGAGATGATTTTCTGTAGTCTTGTAGTATGCATGGTTAGGCGCAAGTCACGAGTTCAAATTTGTTGCGAACAATCTGGTATTTAAGTAGAGAAAGGTAGATGGCCGATTCATTATCCACCGAGTTGTGAACCATGCGTCAGCTAACACAGGGATTTCTCAGTTAAAAAAAAAGAATCTTGAACTTAACACTCATATGTCCTTGCAGTTGACAAGATAGTCTTAGTTTACATTCCATGATGCATTGAAGATCTCAAATGGGTGTAGCCACTCAGCTCCCTTCAGGAGGTCTGGAGCATACACCAATATAGAGTATACCCAATATTTATTATGATCGTACAAGAACTGCATGTTTCTGTTGCAACCTAGATGAAATTGCAGGAGTCACACCTGTGATCGTTTCTTAGTTCAGAGTAATACAATGTAATATATGCCATAAGAATGGACACAAATCTATTTATATATATGCCATAATATATGCAGAATTGTTAAATAACTGATGGTTGTTTCAATCCCAATGTAGGAATATCTCCATTTCTTTTGTGATCCGCCTATGTACCATGTTTCAATCAGTTCAAGTACCATCATGCTGGACGAGAACTTTACAGCTAAAGTAAGAGTTGCAAACTTAAGCCTATGTATAGTAGAATTGCTTCATTGTCACATTTGATGTCCACTTCAGACCTGCATCATCTTTTGTTAAATTAGTCAACAGTCGTCAAAACAATGATAGTATGTATGATTCCTTGTTACAGCTCTGTGATGTTAGCCTTCTTTCTTCTGAGAGCAACATTCCACCACCGAAATCTAAATGCTCGAAAGGTATGATGCTTTCTGGTATCACCCTCAGAGTATACAGGCCATAGCCTCTCTTCAGTTCTTGCATTGCTTATCTTGCAGAATGTAGAGATGAGATCTGCAAACATACAATCTACCAGCTTGGTTTATTGATTCTTGAGTTAGTCACGGGTCAATCCTCAGAGGACGGAGGCGTTGACTTAGTTCAGTGGGTCCAAGATTCTCGTCTCCGGAGAAGGTCCATTCACCAGATGATAGATCCGGATCTAGGAGACAGCTATGATTTCAGAGAGCTCAAAGCTCTTTTGGCAGTTGCAAAGATGTGTGTCCAATCCATTCATAAGCCAACAATAAAAACACCTCAAATTTTGTGGTTTCTACAAAAGAAACTGGGCATCAGCCAAGGAGTTCCCCAATGACTGGATATTTACTGTGATTACCAATACTAATAAGAGATTGGATTACATTGGTCTCCTGCCTCAAGTAGCTGAAAAACTTGGACGAATCCCCTCATTTTTATTTCTCAATTTGTTAAAATTAGCATTGTAGATCATTGCTTCTGTAAGTACACTACACACTAGATTTTTTCTGTAATTAGTCTTGGGGATTATCTAGAATTCATTAGTCCCATAAGCACTCTTTAGCCACCTTCAGTTGCACGTAAGTCTATTTTGTCAGTTTGTAGAAGCAGAAACAAGACACATTGTGCATACCTTGTGCAAAATCAGATGTGAGTTTATTTCTTTTTCCCTTTTCTTTTGCCTGCAAAGTATTAGATTGAATTCCATCTAACTAAATAACTAGTTAAACTGTCCAAGATTCAAAGTTAAATAAATGAATAAATTAATTCTCTCAAGGCATTCAACGACCCTCTGGCAAAACAGGTTAAGATTTCTCATTGATGTTAAGACATTATGCAATGAGATCAACTCAATAAATTAGATAACGTCCAATAGGATGAAGGAAATATAATACATTTCTATTTCAATAAAGCGACTAGCAGAGTACATTGCTTTTCCAAAACAACAAAAGAAACAGATACAATAAACCAAGCAAGAACCAAAGTTCAAGCTGGTTATTTCTTGCCGTCCAGTATATCTTATTATCTGCTATTTCACAAAAACCTCTTTATAGAAACATGTTACTGCTGTGCACATTGTACTCTCTGTCCTCCACCACCATGCATCTCATCATCCTCATCATATGCCTCTTGTTGAGCTGCCTGTTTCCTTCTCATTTCCTCCTCAATATTCACATCATGTAAAGAAGTCTCCTCACACTCATCCAATTCCATGTCTGTGTACTGTGACTGAGGTCTTGGTGGTAAGATTGCCTCCAGAGCCTTCACCTGTTCTGTGTTCAATGAATCTGGGAATTCAACGACGAAACGAATGTACAATTTGCCCCTCATAAATGGCCTCTGATACATTGGCGTTCCCTCATCATTGATTGCCTTGAATTGATCTGCAGTAGTCGGAACCAAGAACGAAGAACCAACGTCAATAAGAATATTTCGAACAAGCAAAAGGCAGATTCAAGATTTAAACTTAATGGCTTCGTTACTGGTTTTTCACATGTATATCTACGTATCATGTCGAAATTCCTAGGCAAAAATCAAAGTGATACTAACCAGGTTTAACAACTTCCCCGGGATTTGATTTTATGAGGAGTTGTCTGCCATCCAAGTGTGTCATTATGAACTGGAAGCCACATAAAGCCTCAGTTAGACTCAATGTGTGATCTACAAACAGATCGTCGCCCTTTCTCTTGAACCTCGGGTGGTCTTTCTGCTGGAGCACAAAAACTATATCTCCAGTAATTGTATCAGGCTGCAACAATATATAACCAAGTAAGTAACTACCTTAGGCTTCGGTTAAGATTGACATATACAAATAAAAGAGAGAAAATAGATCATCTTACCGCTTCATCAGCCTCTCCAGGGAATGTAATTTTCTGTCCATTTTGCATGCCTTTCTCAACATGAACTTCAAGGACTTTCTTCTCCTGAACCACTTTTTCACCTTTGCACCGAGGGCACCGATCCTTATCGTCAATAGTCTCTCCAGTACCCTTGCATTCATTACAAGCGTGCTGCATTTGCTGGATCATTGAAGGGCCAAGTTGTCTAATTGAAACCTTCATACCACTACCTTTACAACCAGAACACTTCATTGAAGCACCAGACTTCGATCCTTTCCTGCAGTTACAGAAACAAACCAATACAACATAAGTAATGATTTATAAACTCAAATTTGTGAAAAGATTTACCTCTTTTCATTTCTCATGACACTTCTTTGGATCCTTTTTTTAGTCTATTCCAAAAGAAATGACACTTTTAGATATTTGAAGACCCTTTAACCTTAACCTTCCAATTTAACCCTAAACAACATCCTTTTATAGTCATGAATGTCTTAACATATTTACAACTACAAATTCCAATAATATATTTTACCCTTAATGACATGTTATTAAAGGGGCAGCCTTGTGCACTAAGCTCTCACTATGTGCGGGGCCCGGGGAAGGGCTCCTGCATTCCTGCAGGAGGCTATTCCCAACCTCAAAACCCGTGACCTCCTGATCACATGGCAGAAACTTTACCAAGGCTTCCCCTCATGAATGACATGTTATTATAGTTATGAAATGTATATATACCAAAAACTTTCTTTTGTACTAAAGACAATACGAGTCTAACACTGTCATATAAAATAAAAGTGAAAGAGTAAGAGTGACAAACAACAAATACTGACCCACTGCACTTGGAGCAAATGACATTGCGCGAAAGGGAGAGTTTTTTGGTTATCCCACTGTAAAGGTCCTCGAGAGAGACCTTCAGTGGATGCACTACATCCTCACCCCTTCTCTGTCTTCTTCCTCTGCTGCTACCACCACCTGCTCAGCGACAACACTTTGTGTTATTTAACTTTCCAAGACACGAAAGATGCAGAAACTAAATTCAGCAAGAGAACTTGATGACATATTTAACAAGCATCAAATAAACGCCACGAGATCTAACCTCCAAATGGATTGCCACCAAAGAAAGATTCAAAGATGTCAAATGGATCATGCATTCCGCCGCCGCCACCCATTCCTTCTTTTAATGCATCTTCTCCATACTGATCATAAATCTCACGCTTCTGTGAGTCACTCAACACCTCATAAGCTTGAGCAAGCTCCTTAAACTGCAGGAAAAGAACAACTTCTATCAGATGATTCAGATCATATTCACACTGTCAACCTAAGTTGCTCGGACACAGGTGTGGGTGTCCGACACCGGTGCGTTCGAGATGTAAATTCTAAGATTTGGGGATACGGATCCTAGTACGGGTACGGGTGCGGGGATCCAGCTAAAAATAATTCAAAAAAATAAAAATATCTCTAAATTATGAATTTTTTTGTGGAATACTTATGACAAAGAGTGGGTTGCTCTAGTGATAAGCACCCTCCACTTCCAACCAAAAGGTTGTGAGTTCGAGTCACCCCAAGAGCAAGGTGAGTAGTTCTTGGAAGAAGGGAGCCGAGGGTCTATCGGAAACAGTCTCTCTACCCCAGGGTAGGGGTAAAGTCTGCGTACGCACTACCCTCCCCAGACCCCACTAGTGGAATTATACTGGGTTATTGTTGTTGTTGTTGTTTGTGGAATACTTATATATAGCTTGTAAAGTGAGGATTGCCACACCCGTGTCACAAGAGTAGGTTGCTCTAGTGGTGAGCACCCTCCACTTCCAACTAAGAGGTTGTGAGTTCGAGTCACCCCAAGAGCAAGGTGGGGAGTTCTTGAAGGAAAGGAGCCGAGGAAACAGCCTCTCTAACCCAGGGTAGGGGTAAGGTCTGCGTACACACTACCCTTCTCATACCTCATTAATGGGATTATACTGGGTTGTTATTGTTGTTGTTGTTGTAAGTCGTAGATAAGTAAAGGATTGATTTCCTAAATAAGGTATGCTATTTTCTTCAAATTTACCCTAGTTTTGATTCTAATTTCGGGAATCAAATTATATCTCGTCTCTAATTTTTCCGTCCCTCGTCAAAGTACCCAAACTTATTTGACCAAATCCGGTACAGATCCCATGCCACATTCATACTAGTGTCGTGTGACACGGGTGTGGCACCTAAACTGACGTGTCAGAGCAACTCAATTGTCAACTAGGAAAACTAGGTTTGGAAAATTTCTAAGTTTGACCGGGATTTGACTTTGTTGATATCGGATAAATTGGAACATGTTCATTTGGTCATTTGAGGCTTGTGTGCCAAGTATGGATGGAATCCGGATTAGTTAGGCGTGAATCGAAGGGGTTTGGACATTTGCGGAATTACCGGTCTGTAGCATAGAAAACCAACAACTTGGGAATAGGTAAGTCCAACATACCATTCTGAGAGTAAAACACATTGACTCGAGTTTCCACCCAAACCCGTTTGACTTAAGAGGTTCATACATAAACTTGTCCACAGACACGCATGAACATACGACTTAATATCATTTGTTCCAAAGTTACAAAATTCTCTTAAAAATGACTCTTAACAGCTTCAGTGATACCCCTAAAACTACCACTGAGAAAGAACAGGGGGTTGCAAAAGCACCCATCTTTACAGCTTCAACTAAGCCAGGCCGACCTCATACCAACTCCACCACCACCCAAAATAAAAAGCAAATAATCAAATCATCAAAAAGAAACAGAAATTTTCTACAATATTGAGAATGCGTAAACTCTAAGAAGCACCTCAACTCAAAACATTCACACAGCCAAAAATTCCAACTTTAGCCATCCTAATTCCTAGTTTAAGCAAATATAACAGCATAACAACAACAACAACAACAACAACAAGAAGCAGCAACAACACATAAAAAATGGATGAAACAACGATATAACAGCTAGAGATGGTGAAAAAAGGGGTACCTTTTCAGGGTCACCACCCTTATCAGGGTGATTCTTCATAGCAGCTTTTCTATAAGCTTTCTTGATTTCATCATCTGATGCATTCTTTGACACACCCAATATTTCATAGTACCTCGTATTATCACTCTTCTTTGGTCCTCTCCCAAACATCTTCGTTTCCCCTTCTTTACTTCTTTGTATTGTAACAATAAATAAAACCAACTAATTACTCCAAGAATATTTCAAAAGGGGTATATATAGACTAATTACACGGTTCAGATTTAAATCTTAATAAAGGTCGGAATGGGAAACTGGCCGTAGGATGTTGTGAATATGGAGAAGCCTCTAGAATTCTCTTGTCGATTAAAATTCCAATGATGATTTTCGTTTTTGGCAGTGGGTGCGTATTTGCGTGTGCGTGGGTGGAATGTAAACCGTTGGATTACAGAATTGACGGTGGGGATCGGGGTTCTAGATTGTTCCATTTTGGGAGACCAGCTTCCTAGTACATTCTCCGAAAAAAAGAAGAGGACGGGGAAAAAATTGTACATTATTATAAGAACGCGCTCGTACAGTTAAAGGAAATTACACTGAAACCCCCTATATTTTTTATGACTCCCCTGCAACTTAACCATCCTATGTTTCTATTCTTGCTTTCATTTTTGGGAATATGAAATTGTTTTTTTTAAGTGGTTGTAACAATTCGACAGTTGTGATCCAAATTGTTTTTTGAGAATGGATATTGATTGATATTACTGTTCATTACTTGTTTGAATGGTTTAGAGTGAGACCTAAGGGGTTTTGACACATTGGGACAAGTTTGGGCGATAAAACTATTCTATCAGTTTTGCTGGTGCAATCGTTGTCGTGCCCTTTTCTCATGCGGGTTTCGATATATGACAACTCTTTTAAATGGGTATTAAAAGAGAAGAGTCATCACCTAACGGTTTTTAAGATGCTTTAGGCACCTATTTGCAAATAACTCCGTTTAACTAGTCTACGTCACCAAAGATCGGGTAAAGGCTCAAATTAACTCAAAGAGAAGGTGTTAGGCACTCTTTGAGGTCCACAGCTGTGGGTCCAGGCCAAAGTTTACGCTATGTGAGATTATCGGATTATAATTGTCCTATGTGATCATATAAGTGAGGGAAGACAAGGAATTTAAAAGTTCTACTATAATATAAACAAGTGTAAAGAAAATAGCATAAGAATTAAAATATATAAATAATCAGTACAAGTCTTTAGAAGTTACAAGATACAACTTAATTATTCACGGTGCGAACAATAAACATATAAATGAGGGGGGTCTTAAGTTTTTTAGCCTAAAGGATCACCCCGTGCAACATAACTAAAAACTTCGCAACTCTCTTAGGGTAGAGGTTGCTCATATTATTCAGCGAGCACAGACTATCATCTCCTGCTACCCAATTATTATATTGAATTTGTTTACTTAGAGTTTTCTAATTCAATTCTAAAATGTGTCTTATGTGTGCGCTACTCGTCTCATGTCTATAGTCGAGGAGGCTTTGGACCTACTATTTGAGTAATTCTAGACTTTACTTAGGGTGCTCAAAAATAATAAAACTAGGCACACATTCAAAACATGTAGGACTACACGTAAAGACAATAAATGACTCAAATTAGCCTCCACACATAAGCAACAAATGCACACAGGCAGATTCTATAGACATGCTTTCTAGGCGAGCAATCGTATCTTATAGACATGATTTCTAACTGTTGGTATTTGAACTTGATTTTATCATACTTATTCCTATAGACATGTCGTCTAGGCGAGCAGTATAATAAAATAACAGAAGTGGTCAATTAGTTAATTAATTAAAGCCCTATAGTCATGGTATCTAGATGAGCATTAGCAAAGGCATGTATTGTTACATCCTATAGGCATATTGTCTAATAATTAAACAAGTAGTTATTGGCGTTTGATTCCTATAGATATGTTATCTAATAGTGCACAGCAGTAGACATGGAAACAGGTACAACATTTACTCAAACCAACATGATGTGAATAGTGTACATGTATTAGACAAGTTAAGTGAAGTGTGTGATTTCCTATAGGCATGATTTCTATGTGTAGCACATCAAGCAAATAGCAAGCAAGGCAAGTAAATCCTATGGACATGTTTTCTACCCATTTATGCAAGAATTAGGATACCTAACCCCCTTTCACTAATTCCCCCATCGTTTGTTTACAAATTATTACAGGCCCAAAGATAAAAGAAGAAACTATCTCATATATTACAAAATCGAGATGACTACATGCCCAACAAATAGAGCAGTCCCAAGAAGAAATAATGCATCACTGTCTGGGCCTTCAACAGACTCGCTCCTCAGACAAGTAGCAGACTCAGACCCAAACTCAGCTCAAACATTGGAGTGTATCGATTGCACAGCCCAGGCCCACACTTAGACCCATATCAAGCCCAAATAGAGTCTCACTTACCCAGCAATTGCGAATTAACAACTTAACTAGACAGACTAACAAACCACATATAGCAATCACTTAAAGGATTCTAAGACCTACTAACAGCGACTAGATGGCAGAATTTACAGGAAAGTGTATTTTACATTTTAGAAGCAAACGTGACAAGATTGATTAAACAAAAGAACATGAAAACTAAGAGAATCAATAGGGCTTAGCTTCAACATGGTAAGTTTGATATGGCAAACTAATATAGCAGGTTCAATCACTTAGCAAGGGATATCATGTTGAGCATGAACAACACATTGAGAGAGAGTTAGGGGAAACAGGTCATTTGGGGTTACAGGGTAAACATATACAAGATGCACATGCCAAATGAGTTCAGAATATAGATGGTCCATAATTAGCCTAAAAAGGATTTTAAACTCAGGAATCTGAGTTATGAAGGTCAAACAGAGTTATAGTCAGGGAATCACAATTACACATAACAAACAGACAAGCAAACAATCAATAGGGAGCCTAATCATACTGAGTATAACACAAAGATTCCCAAGTTCAAAGATATCATAGTAGGAAGACACATTAACTCCAAACTAACATGTCAAACAGATATTAGGACTATCTCAGTTGACCATCTTTAAAGAATAAGTTGAATATAATGAGATTCTTCCTAGTAGTCTTAAGCAATTAGTGAGCACATAGCGATAGCATGACATTAGAGTTTATAAACAGCAAAGAGACCTAGTTGGGATAGTATTAGCATAAAGGTTCCTCATGAATTGACTCTAAGAAAATAGCAGATTGTACATGAAGGACTCGATAGAAAAGTAGTTTATTTGGACAAATTCTGAGCATAAATTAGTTCCTCACAAGAATCTAAGGCCTAGACTCATAACAAGAAACATGTATAAGCAACCCGCTATACATAAACATAATGATTAGAAATCAATCAAGTTGGACACATATAATAGGCATGCATTAAAGCTAGCAGTGGAAAGAGAACATATTAGGCTAAGCATTTAGACAGTATTGTCACATGATTTGCAGAGAAACAGCAAGTTATGCATAAAGGATTCAAAAGGAAGAGAGCAATTCTGAGCAAGGACACAGTTTCCTAAGGGTTTTAGTACAAGAAATCAAAACAAAGTGAAACAAGCATCAATCAGGTTTAATTATGAACCAAGCAAATGTCATGAATCAACTTAGCTAATTATGGAAAAAATAGGATTTGAACAGAGTTGAAGTCATTGACACTGCAGAATGGTATTAAGACGAACAGACTTGTATAAGAAGTGGCATAATATTGAAATTAGCTCAAATAAATCCAAGTAGCACTAGTGCACATAACATAAACACAAACAGAAAGAAGTAGGATTGCGAGGGTATGAAGTACTAACCAGTTACAAACAAATCGAACAAAGAATGAGAAACTCAAAATCACAAAAATAGCGGCGATTGCAGGAGAACAATGAAACCCCAAATCTCTGGTGCTTCAAGAGTTCACACGAGCTTTGAAGTGGGCTCCGAGCAGTGCTTGCACTGGATGAGGCTAATGAATGGATTTCGGTGGCCTTGGCTTGCACTGGATGAGACTAATGAACGGATTCCGGTGGCCTTAGCTTCCAGCCGACCAAAATCAAAAGTCTTAGAATAGTATAGAATGAGTGAGAGTGAGAGAATAGTAGTGGACAGTAGTTAAGTAATCGTTGTTAAGAATTATAAGGGGAACGGGGAACGGGGTTTATATAGTAGTAACAATGGATCGAACAAATAAGGAAACATAGTTAATCAAACACAAATAAGGAAAGAGAAGCATGCAAATCAATTTAGAATCAATTTAGGAAAAAATCGGGTAAATCCTAGTTCCAGATGAAGAACAAAATAGTCAGAGAATCTCACTAAATCAGACCCATATAACCTTGCTATGGATGCATATAGACGAAACATCGTCCAGATCTTGAAGATATGGAGATTATTGTACTTGATTCAAGACCTGGTACTTGCCAAAAATAGGTAAGTACTAGGTGATACCACAACCATGTAAGTAACGAAGAGATCGAGCATACATGGAAGGAAAATCACGAGGAGATTCCATATTAGGTTCGGAGTTTGAGAGGATAAAGGAGGCGGCTGCTAGGGTTTCTCATAAGAGAGAAGGGGAGATTTGAGAGTTTTTGGGGTGGCGGTTTGGAGGGAAATGTGTGTTAGGGTTTGGGGTTGGTTAATTAAAGATGGGAGATGGTTTGTGGGCCATTGATCTCTGATATCAACGGTTGAGGTAGAAGGAAGGAGTGGGGCAGGTCATTTAAATGGGTACCGACCGGGTTCATTAAAAGGCAAGTTTGGTTTGGGCTCGGGGCTATTGGTCTAGGTTTTGGGTCCGAAATTAGCTCAAAATATTGGTCCATAGTTTAAATACACGAAATTTATTAAAAATAATTTATAAAAATAATTAATAAATAATAATAATAAAATATTTATGTAGTAAAATGCTTGAAAATGATAGCTTAACATTATAAAAAAATATTAAAAAAATACCATTTTGGCATAAATAATGTAATAAATATAATTACGTATAGAATATAGGCTATTATTGCAAAAATTGTGTAAATAGGTAAAAAATACAAATGTAATTATATGAAATGAAGCAAAATCTTATAAAACATATATGTGGATGTAAATAATAAATTTGGATGATTAAGTCATCATAAAATAATTTGAAAGGATAATTAATAAATATTTGAACAATTTAAATTCCAGAAAATCAATTTTAAAGATTTAAAAATTATGAAAAATTATTTTAAAAAAAATACTTATATGACTCTTGTAAATTAGGTAATAATACAAAATGATATTTTA